ACCCACGTCTCGCCTTCGCCTCGGGACGCAACGTCGTGGAATGACAAGACGATACACCAAAACATAACAGCATTGGACATGGCATTTAATAAGACTTGGCAAGAGCAACAAGGTAAAAGGAGCGTTCGTTCAGTCGTTCGTTCCAGGCACGCATAGACCGGTCGGCACCGACCACTGAGCAAAGCAACGGCGGCCGCGCCAGGGTCGATGATGTCGATGACTGGATGCAGATACACAACAGTTGGCGTTGGACAACGTCCCGCAAACGGGAGGGAGGGTGGTAGGGGTAGGGTAGCCTCCGGAAGGCGTACTTGAATACAATACGTCGACCGGCGCGCAACATCGTCGTGAAACGCAAAGAAACGATGCCATCTCCAACCGACCGCCAAGACAAACAAGAAATTCGTACTGGTATACTGGTAATGGCCGCGTGGATACCTGTCTGACTGACTATGTACATGTGCACTGGTCAGCATCACATTTCCCTGGCAAATCGAAACAGCGCATTCGCCGCAACACACAGTTCAAACCATAAAATATCACTAATAAAAGAAACAACAAAATCAAATGCTACAGGCAGCGCATGATTTTTTTCTACACGTGTGTGCGCGTGTATAGTGGCGCTAAAGGTAAATGGGCCGAATCGAGCGACGAATGACCGACCGGACAACCGGCTGCCGTCTGGCGTCCGTCCGTCCGTCCATCCGCCCGGAGGTCAGTCAGGTGCAGGTGTCGCCCACAGCCGACGCTGCCGGAGGAGCGGGTGGGGGCACGTCCGCCATCAGGGTCGAGGCAAGACTAGCGCCTTTCGACTTCAGACCGTTACCGTTGCCGTCGCGCATGTCCAAGCCGCCGGTGGCCGTCGTCGCTACTGCAATCGTCAGTCGGTGGTGGTCGGAAGACGCCGGGGTAGCAGGGTCAGAAAATGAAGTGTAACTGCTGTCGTTGCCGACACCGCCGCCATGCGACGACAACTCGTTCAACTGCTGGTCACTTGCGATGCCGACCCCGCTGCTGAGACTCATCATCAGACTGGAGTCGTTCGGGAAGCTTTTGCTGTTGGTCAGAGTGACCCCGCCTAGCGAACGAGTGGCGCGATGTCGCGGCAGAAAGTGGTTCGACTCGTGCGTCTTTTTATGGCGAAGAAGGTTGTCTTTACGGTTGAATCTGTAAACAAAACAACACGCATTCAAACATATGCCATGAGGTACGACCGGATGGCAGGGGACAGTTTAAACCACGTTGAGACCATCGCCTCGCTCTTACCGTTTGCAGCAGTATGGGCACTGGTGCGGTCGCTCGCCCGTGTGAATGAACTCATGCTTCTTCAGCAGGAACTTGTTGGCGAAGCGCTTGTTACAGTTGGCGTGATGACACATATACGGTTTGTACAACTCTGAAACAGACCAAGATCTAGAGCTGTTGAGGTCAAACCGACAAACGAGGTTTCGATACGATTGTACAGCGACACTTGTAATTTATGAACAAATCTTAAGAGAGGACTGACGAATACTTCACTCGTTGCATTAACGACAAACCTGCTTTGAAGACATGTTCCGTCTGCGAATCCGGACAAAACAATTACGCAACATCGTCGTGAGGATGGACGATAGCCACCACTGCGCTCATATCGAAACTGCCACCGTTCCACGAGTAACACAATGAAGTCCCTCGATCACGTGCTTCATTTGGAATGATGACCGAGTCACTGTGCTTTCTAATGAAACTGTGTTTTACTCTTCCCGTTATACGGACGTATTTGAGGAACTCCGTCGTATCACCTGATGGAAACATGGCTAGAACTGAGGCCATTCCCCAAACCTAAAGACCGGACAGTTATTGTTCATCGTCGTTGGTATTTATCCTCGAACAAAGCGCCATGACTGCTGTACTCAGTGTCGAGAATGGCAATTGAAGTGATTCGCTCGACACGGCCACTGTTCTAACTAGCGTTTCATGAATGACACGACGGAAACTGCATGAAATTTTTGAAACACGTCTGCATAAGCCTTAGAGTGAAAAACGAGTTCGATAAAGAGTGTAACGACTCAGTGCCTGAAAAGCAAATTTCTTCAGTCTTCTGGTGTCGCCGCAACAGGGAACAGGCAATGGAGGTGCACAAGAATCGAGGTGCAGGGGGAAAAGAAGTAACGCGCAGCACGACAAACATTGGTGATCGACAAACAAATAAACGCATGGTAGCCAGGATTGACAAAGCTCCCTTTGTCTCTTACGAGCCTGAGATTACTACAAAGCCGGATGAAGGATCGCGGTTCCGTTTCAATTTCAAACAGACAGGCATACCGTAAGTATGACTGTGGCCAACGACTTGACACACAGGCAAGAGCTTGCCACGGTTAAGACATCTGTCTAGACGAAACGTGCTCCAACTAATAAAGCCAATATTAAAGGAACGTGGATCATCGTCTTCGGCATTCATCCACCGTCTCAAAAGTGAGTAAACGAACGGACTTATTTATCTGACCACTGAACAACGACGCAAGGCCCACCGATTCTCCTACCTTAGCAGTCCGGTGGCTGACCTCCTCATGTTTACACACGACAGATAGAATACGGTGCGAAAAACGTCTTCAAGCATGTATTGTCTTTGTCTGTCAGATAACTCCGAAACACGCTATCCTCGTTATGCGCCACGTGCCTGTTCCAGTATTCATAAAGATCATGATTTGGTCGAACCGGACCAAGGGCGAATACGAGATGTGGAACAAAGCGCTAGGAAAACGCGACAGATTAAACACTGCAGAGACCATTGGGATGCATCGTTTAAATCATTAAGACGTTTTTTTCTTTGCTTGAAGAGGCGAACAGGTACGAACTGGCTGCGAACAAAGTCACAATGAACATTTGTCCATTTGGGACAAGAACAACTGAATGTTTCATATGGAAACATCAAGAGATTGACTTGAAAGTGAACGAATTCCTTCGTCTGCGAGGGAATCAGACCAAGATCTGCGGTACAACGGGTGGTGGTGACGGGGCGGGGAGAGTTGAATAAACAATACAGTGATACGGAGTGCATACTGTTTCCAAACTTGTGTTCCCCTCTTCTTAAGCACTCTTAAGCAGCAAACAGTGATCACGGTTAATGACTTAAGCAACCTGCCAGAAGACGCCATCGCGTGGTTTAAAACACTGACAACTGCTGACTATGACCGTACTGGCGCCTTTGAACTGGCCCGATTTAGCACCGTTTGAAATCC